AGAGTTTGCATAGGGCAGGGCTCTGATAGCGAGAGCTATGAAAGATGCATTCAGTAACGGATCCCGCTCCCCACCTTCCAGGCCTTTACAGTCTAGAGAGTGTTAGGTGTATATATGTATGTAGTCACAGAAGACAGAACACCATACTATAGGCAGAGCTGGAAAGGGTCGTGGGAACCCAGGGAAGGAGGAGGCCAGGTCCTCCTGAGTGGGACATAAGGCAAGACTCAGGAAGACCTCAGGGAGGAGCTGGAGCTTGAACTGGGCCTTAAGTTGTGCTAAGATTTGCAGAGATGAGGCAAGGCCATTCCTGACCAGAGAAGTGGAGGAGCCAAAAGACAGGGAGGCGTGAATATGGCTACATCCAAATGCAGCCTCGCCCGGAAGAAGGGTCCGTCCCATGAGTGAAGCCAGAAAGGCAGATTTGGCTGGGACTACTGGTGCGCATCACTACACCCAGCTAATTTTTTGTAGGGATGGGGTTGTGCCATGTTGCCCAAGCTGGTCTTGAACTTCTGGGCTCAAGCGATCCGCCCTCCTTGGCTTCCCAAAGTGCTGGGATTACAGGCGTGAGCCACCGCAACTGGCTCCATTGCCATTGGTATTTAAAAGGTAATGGTTTAGGTTTTGAAAATGGGGCTGTTTGTGAAAACTGAGAGTGCCTTTTGTTCTCAGATATTTCCTATGGCCATTGGTGTAATTGGAGGGAAGCTCTCGCCATATATAATATTTTTGAGGCAGCCAACTAAGAAACCGGGATTCTGGTTCTCTCCAGGTGCAAAATCCTGCGGGAAGGAAGTGAATTCTCAGGGGCCCAGAAGGAGTCTCTAAAGGACCTCTGCCAGTCAATTCTAATCTCTCTTCTCCCCCTCAAGTCAGCCCCTGCTTCTGCCTCTTTCTCTGTCTCTCCTAGATTCTCCCCCTCTGGAGGGCCTGAGCTGCCGACCACCACCCCCAACGCCGCTTTCTGCTTCCTCTGCCTCTCTTCATCTCTCTTTGTCTGGGGTTTCTTTGTCTGGGGTCTCCCTTTGGTTCTGTTTCACAGTTCTCAGCCTCCCCTCCCTTTCTCCCCAGCCAGGCTGCTCCGTCCCTCTCTGCAGGGGCCTAGAGGCTCGGTGAGGGGAGCGGGACTTGGTTGCCATGGTCACATCGAAGCCAGCCGCAGCTGGCCCGGGCAGCTGCTCCTCCTGGGCCCAGGGCCCTGGACGCTCGGACAAAGCCAGGCGGTGTTGGCAGCCCCAGACCTGAAACCCCAAAGGCCTGAGACTGGGGTGACTGGGACCTAAGAGAATCCTGAGCTGGAGGTGAGAGGGAGGAAGCCACAGATGAACTGGGAGGGCAGGAGTGGGCGCTGGAGCTGGGCCCTCCCCTTGTGGGCAGGGACCAGGCGGTCCTGGCTGGAGGCTGGAGGTGCGGTGGGAGGAGGGGAGCAGCCCAGAACTTGGCAGGGAGGAGGGGAAGGACAGGGAATAGAGTTGGGGGCCATGGTGTGGCAAATGGGCTGAGGAGCTAGGGTGTCCCCCAATGGGGGACCATTGTCCAGAAACAGGTTCGATTCTTTCTTTGGGCCTTGTGTCCCCGTCTGTCCTGCAGGTGCCTCTTCCTTTCTCAGCCTTTTATTCTTCTCATCTCCCTGTGTCCCTTAGCTTCACACTTTGCGCCCCAGTCTCCCTCCTCTTTCCTTCCACTCTGTTTCACTCCAGCCCCTTCTCTTCCCTTGTCCTTGTTTCTTGTTCCCTTGGTCTGTCTGCCCAGCTCTCAGGCCTCCTCAGTTCCCTGCCTTCCTCTCTTAGGAGTTTGTTCCCAACACTGTTTCCCCACCACGTCCACTTCAGTTCCTTCATCCAGTTCAGCCCTTTTCTTCCCAAACTTCAGTCTCCTCCTCTGAGCGCCTGGGACTTCCCACCTTTTGCTGTGTGGGCCCTGTCTTCATCCTCCTTTTCCTCTCTCCCATCTCCTCGGCCTTGACCTCAGTCCATCTCCTGTCTCTCTGGGAGTTTCCTCACCATCGTCCCCATCTGACCATCAGCCTCCTCTCCCTCTTCTGGTCCTGTGCCCCCTTCTTCCCCATCCACAGCTGAGCGGTTTCATCTCCCAGAGATACGTCATCTCAATCTCCTCCTTCACTCCCTGGCCTCAGTTTCCAGTTTGTATTCAGTGGCATCAGGTCTGACTCATACCCAAAACCTTGTCCACTCCTTCACCCTGCCCCCTACCCGTCACTTCTCACTCTCCCCAGCTGCTGACCCAGCCTGCTCCCCGAGAGGCAACTGCAGCTCTCAGAAGGCACTGCGGCTAGTGTGTGTAGGGGGGCCCATCTGGTCCGTCCTCTCGCTCACTGGTCGTGCTGGGCTTCCCTCCTGTGGCCAGGTGGTCTGCAGGCCTGAAGCTGCCCTCTCCCCTCTCCTATGTGCCTCTCCTCACATTTTTTCAGCTGTTTCCTGTCCTCTCCTTGCTGGGCAGCAGGCTGCCACTGGCTTGAAGGGGAGGGAAGCCCGGGATGGGAGGGGATGGTAGAAGGTCTTTTGGGGTTCTGGGGGACACAGGGGGCCTCTGGGGTTCGGAGTGATGCAGGAGATGTGGAATGGGCTCTGGGGACCACGGATGGGTAATCAGGCCCTCTTGGTCTTTGGTGGTGCTCTCTGGGCCCCAGGATGGCTGGGATTTCCCTCTCAGGCCCCCGGGAAGCCCGAGTCCCGCATTCCAGCTGGCTCCAGCTCCCTTTCCGTTGTCACTTGACTCCACTGGGCCCCAGCCTTGCATCCCTCCCACTCCTCCAGCCTGGAGCTGGGGCGAGGTGGGCATCACCACGAGGAATTTCTCCTGAGGCAGTGAGAAGAAGGGACAAAGTTTTCAGGACTCTCTAGCTCCTTCTGCTCTCCCCAGTGGACCCCTCTGTCTGGCACTGTCATGCCACTTAGCTGGGGTCAGCGTGGGTCTGCGGTGTGGAATGTCCCACCAGGGTATGACGGGCTGTAGCTTGCCTGGCAGGCCTGTCGGGGCTTTCCCAGAGCACAACTCCTGGAAGGAGGGGCTGCGTGCTGCCAGGTGAGGTGACTTGGGAAGCCTTGGCCCCACCCCCAGGCTGGCCCCACCCCCAGTCCAGCGTCTCCTGGGCCTAGATTCCCCAGCTGCTGTCTCTGGAGGGGTAGGTGTTCCGGAGGAATCCCTGGGGGCTTGGTGGGACACGGAGGCGGGAAGAAGCTGCTCTCCGAGTGACCCTGAGGCTGTCTGTTAGCAGGTCCCTCAGCCGTTGGAACGTCCTTGGGCTTCTGAACTGGTGCCCATGTGTGCCTCGGCCTTTCCCAAGGGCCAGCTTCTTCCTGGTAGTGCTTTTGTGTACTTGTCTGGTTGGGACTTCGTGTTTCTTTCTTGGGATCGTTGTCTGGGACTGCAGGCAGGGTATGTTTTTATCTACTGTGAGGTTTCTGGGGTGGAGATGTGCAGTGGAGTGAGACCTTCCTGTGACCGTGACATTGTCTAGGTGGTGAGCGGGTGTGGGGGTGTGGAGAGAGGTGAGGGGCTGAGGTAGTGCTGAGGGGGGGGAGTGGGAGAAGCACCTCCCACCACAAGTTCTGTCCTGCTCCATCCTCTGCCCAGCAGCTCTCTCAGTTGCTTTGCCTACTCATTGTCACTGTGTCATCTTCCCTGGGTCTCTTGGTCCCCTTCCTTTTGACTGTGTGTGATTTTCACTGTGCCTCCATCCTTCTCCTGTTCCTCTTCTTCCTCCTCCCGACCACCCGATTTTGCCCTGGCCTCATTTTTGTCCTCTTCTGGCCAGTGATCAGACCCTCCGGCTCACCAGGGCCAGAGCTGGCTGGACCTGAGGGAGGCTTGTCCTGAGGAGTCCTGAGTCCCCCTCCCACTCCACTCCGTTGGGATCCCAGGGGAATCAGGGCCTGGGCGTCTGGACCCCTGGGTTCCTGAGAAGGCCCTGCAGAGAGAAGAACTGAGAGGAGAAGGTTAGAGAGGAAGGGGTTAGAAGAGAGTGGGCCCGCCCTCAGGGTCTGGGGCCTTCCAGGTTGGGTGGTAGGGGCGGGAGCGCACAGGCTGCGAGAGAGGAGCAAAGGTTGGTGGAGTGAGAAGAGCTGTCTGGGGCCTGGCTGGACAGGTGAGCCTTGAGACCTGAGCCCTGCTCCCTTCTCGGGGCTAACTCCGGCAGCTGGGCTGGGCCTAGCCTGTGGGAACCTGCTTCTTCCTCTGTGCCCTGGGGCTGCTCCCCTTCGCCTCTCCCACCAGGAACCGAGCCCAGAAGTAGGAGGGGCGTCTTCCCCTCGTGGGCACTAAGCGGGACTGCAGCCGGCCCCCTGGGGCGCCAGCTTTGGAGGTTCTCGTTGTGGGAAGCGGGGGTGGGCTGCGAGTGGGTGGAGGGGACTGGGCGCGGAGCCGGCCGGGGGCAGCGGCGCGGGCGGCTGGGTAGCCTCGGAGCGCCCTGGCGGGCTCGGCGGGCGGGTTACCTGGGGGAGGCCGGGCCGGGCGCGGGCGCACGGGGTGGGCGTGGCGGGCGCGGGGCCTGGAGCGCCGCGCGGGGCGTGGGAGCCACCGGGACTACTGGGTCCGGGAGGGGGAAGGGAGGGCGGCGAGCCCGAACGCGCGGCGAGAAGGCCGAGGGGAGGGAGCAGAGCGAGGAGCGGGAGGAGGAAGGGAGGGAGCCGAGGCGAGGGGGAGGCGGCGCCTGGGCCCGAGCCGCCCCAGTCCTGGCTCCTCTCCCCGGAACAGGCCCCCGACAGCTGCTCGCGGGAGCCGCCTCCCGACACCCGAGCCCCGCCGGCGCCTCCCGCTCCTGGCTCCTGGCTCCCTCCGCCTCCCCCGCCCCTCGCCCTGCCGCCGAAGAGGCCCTGCTCCCGGGTCGGACGCCTGGGTCTGCCGGGAGGAGCGATGAGAGGTAGGGAGAGCGGCGGGCGGACCCCGCTGGCGGAGGCCTGGGGCTCTTGGGGTGGCGGCGCGCGGCAGCGGCTGCCGGGCGAGGGGCGGGGGAGGCAGGACGTCCCGGGCCGTGCTTGGTCGTCCAGCTCTTCTAAGCCTCCCTGCCCGCCTCCCCGTTGCTCTGGGTTACCATCTGAAAACCGGGGGCGGGCGCTGGGGGGAGGTGAAGCCCTGACCTCCCAGAAAGAGCTTTGAGCCTCCAGCATGGAGGGAAGTCCCCCTTCACTCAGTGTGGAGGTACTGAGCCCCGGGAGGAGATGCTCCTGCGCAGCCCCACTGAGTCAGCTCATCACCGCCTGGAGAGCACGGCCTGCCCTCCACCTGGCCAGTCCCTGCGGCCATCTACTGACTGCTAAGCCTTCGCTCAGCCAACACCCAGTTGGTCAGCCTGGTCACAGTCCAGCAAAAAGAGGGACTGACACTATAACCCACCAGTGACACCACTCTTCCCGGCTGGATGGTTAGTTGGCTCTGGCATGAGAGAATGTCATTGCCAGTGAGCGCCATCCTCAGGGCCCCACCCCCCACACCTGGCTCCTGACTGAACATTTCTTCCCAGTACTTCCAGCAGCCAGACGCTGGCGCCCAAGCTCGCTGGCTGTTGCTGAGGGCCTGTAGGTGTGTCCAGGACTGAGTGGTGTAGTGGAGACAGGTGAAAGGAGAGTGGAAAGGCAGGGAAAGGCTGTTGTCCTTATTGCCACTCTTCCCACCCAGCGCCCACCTGTTCTCTGCCCCCTCGACATCCCTCTGGCTTGGTCACCTGTGTGTGTTAGAGGCTGGGCCCCAGTTCTCTGGGGATCCTGTACCCAAGGGCCTGGGCGTGTGTGTCTCATGCTGTCTTCTGGTCACAGGAGCATGTGGTGTCTGTTATTTCATGTTCACAGGTGTCTGAAGTGGCTATTCATTGAGCGATGGGGTTGGACTTGAAGGAATGCCAAGGTGTGGACGGGTTGATGTGTGCATGAGCTTCTGTGTTTGCTCTGTCTCAGAAACTCTGTGACGGTTGTCAGAGACACTGAGAGGGGGGTGTGTGCATGCCACATTTAGCCTCGCTGTTTACAGCCAGTTCAGTAAGTTTCTGTGTCTCACTGTGTGTGTGTGTGTGTGTGTGTGTGTGTGTGTATACAGAGCTGTGTGGGTGTTGTCTGAGTGGGACATGGGGGGCTGGGAGAGGAGTGTGAAAGACTTGAGGCAGGGTGGCCTGGCCCCTGGTTTGTCTTTGGTTGTAATGGGGTGGGAGGCCGTGGGATTGGGGAAGGTCTTCTGGGCCTGTCCTCTCCTGCCCTCTGTGTCTCTGACTATGGGCTGAAGACCCAGTGGAGAGAGATGAGGTGACTGGGGGTGTTGGAGAACGGACAGCCCAGATGGCTCTGTGCTTCTCTGTGCTCCTTTGCTTGGCTCTGTGCCCCGTGTTTCTGAGCCTGCTCTATTTACCTCTTGCATTGTGGCTCTCGATCTGTCTCCGCCTGCCTCCTATCCTCTGCCTGCCTTTGTGTCTCTGCCCCGGGCTCCTCTCGGCTCTGTGTGGCTCCGATGACTCATCTGGGATAGGCATGAAGGTTACTCAGGGGAACAAGAGCCCCGCTGTTCCAGAGAGAGGTGGGGGTGGAGAGTGGCACCCAGGAATTCTGAGCCAGTCTCCTGGGACTCTGGCAGCCTGCTCCCTAGCACTGGACCCTAAGGGACCAGGCGTGATGCCTTCTGGTTCTAGCCTCTCCTTGATAACTGAGTGCTCCCCACAACTCAGTCATCCCCCTCAGCTGCTGCTTCAGAGCTCTGGGGTCTCAGCTGCCTCTTACATTCCTGCCCTAGTGCATTGTGGGAGCAGCTGAAGGAGGACAAAGGGATGGGGGAGTATCCCCCACTCCTCCTACCTCCTGGGGTGACCTGCCTTCCTTGTCTTTAGACCCGCCCTCATCTCCAAGGCAACTCAGCCTTTCCTCATTCCCTCAGAGGCAGCCACCTTCTGGAAGTGGGAACTGGGGGGACTGGATGTCTGGGTCTCAGGAAGGCAGAGCAGGGATAACTGGGCCCAAGATGCCCTGAACCTGATAAGAGGTGGCAGTCGAGTCCCTCAGGACTCTAGGGCCTGGAGACTTCACTGTGGGGCTCTGGGACCAGTACAGGTTAGGACAGCTTTTCCTGCAACAGGGGAGGGGAGAGTAGTTATTTGGGTTTGTAAGGAGATGCCATTTAGAATTGTTTTATGTGGGGTAAGCTTCCTGGGCCTGAGGAACAGAGTAGGGATTTTGAAACTTTAATGGGCACAGATCACCTGGGAATTGTGTTAAAATGCAGATTCTGATTCAGCAGGTCAAGGGTGAGCCTGAGATTCTGATTTCTTCCATGCTTCCAGGTACTGCTGATGGTCCAGGGACCACCCTGGGCCTAGAGGGCTCTAGGGGACAGTAAGACTGGAAGGTGCTGGGGTCCCCTCTGCCCTTGTCTTAGAATTCTAGACTCCTATGTGGGAGGGCAGCAGGGTCAGCTGGTCCAGGCTTATCTGATGTTTAATTCTATCATATCCTCAACAAGGAATTGCCCAACCTTTTCTGGGACATTTATTTTTTAAAATTCAAAATGAATTTCATATTCTTTTACATATCATATGGTTTTACATAAATGCATTTATGTAATAGGATTTAGAAAAATAGTACAATCAACCTGTCTTTTTTTATTTGCTTTTCTTTTGCCCCATTCATGTTAACTCGTGTTATATTATATTCTATTGTTATATTCTATTATATATTCTTTACCTTTAGACATACACACAGGTATATATACAAACATGGGTGCTTGTTCTGTTTTCAAAAGGTGGGATAATTTTTTATACTTCTGTAGGTTGCTTTCCATATTCAACAGATACACAAGGAAATTACACTAAGTTGGGAATTTATTGCCTCTTTGTTACTTTTCATAGCTGCAGAGTAGTCCATAAACCTTATTATTATTATTTTTTAATTCCAGCCTGTCCCCTGTGAGCATTCACATATCTTACAGATTTATGTCTCACAAAAGGTGCCATAATAAACATCTTTGAGCATCTTCTTTTTTTGCTTTCTTTTTTCATTTTTCATTTTTTTTTTTTTTTTAAAGAGATGGGGTCTTGCTATGTTGACCAGGCTGGTCTCTAACTCCTGGCCTCAAGTGATCCTCCCATCTCAGCCTCCCGAAGTGCTGGGGTTACAGGCATGAGCTACCAGACCCAGCCCTGCACATATGTTCTTCCTTCCTGGTGCTTCTGTCTCCCATTTGGGTAGATCATTAGGAGAGGGAATGCTGGGTTGAAGAGGATGTGCTTTTTAAATTATAATAGACATTGCTAGATCCCTTTCCTAATAGAGGATAACGCTACATTTCTGCCATCGAGCATGGTGCCTCCCTTTTCTTCACCCTCCACCACTTTTATATGTTACAGCCGTAAAAAAATATCTAGTCAATCTGCGTGGTATTTCCCTGAGGCTAGTGAATTTGACCATAAAAAAAATGTTGGCAATTTGGCTTTGCTTTTCTGTGAAATGACTATTCAAATTCTTTGGCTGTTTCTTTATTGGGTTACTTATACATTTTTTCTTGTCAGTTCCTAAGGGGCCTTAGTTTATTGTAGTTATTAAACCTTTTCCTGTTGTGTGTGTTATAACATTTTTTGCACACTTGTTTGTTCTAAGCCATTGTCTATGGGGGTATTTTGCCCATTCTTGATTGCAGAAATGGGGCTTCAGGAAGTTAACTGATCTCTGCCCTAGTTTCTTCATGTGTTAAATATGGATAGTAATAGTATCTACCTTATGAAGTGACTGTGAAGATAAAATTATGGATTCTGTTTAAGGGTTTAGGCCAGTGTCTGGCACAGGGGAAGCATTCTAAAAATACAGCTGATGCTGTTAAACAATGACTGTTGTTGTTGTTTTACTGTTATTATCCCCAAAGCGGCCCATTCTGTCTGTTGCTGTCAGCTATGACTCAGTCCCCTGATTAACTTACCCACCACCCGTTTTATCCCCTGCAGAGATGCTGCCCCCACCCCCTTAGGCCCGAGGGATCAGGAGCTATGGGGCCAGGGGCCCTCTCGTCTTTACTGCTGCTGCTCTTGGTGGCAAGTGGAGATGCTGACATGAAGGGACATTTTGATCCTGGTGAGGAGACTGAATCATGGGTCCCTGAGGGCCAGGGCTTGGGAGGTAGAGAGTTGGGGGCCTTGACCTGTTACATGCCTGCTTTTTACTCAGCCAAGTGCCGCTATGCCCTGGGCATGCAGGACCGGACCATCCCAGACAGTGACATCTCTGCTTCCAGCTCCTGGTCAGACTCCACTGCCGCCCGCCACAGCAGGTACTTGGCACACCTGATACACCTGCAGCTGCCCCGAGGGGAGCCCCTGGGACCTCTACTTCCCCTCCAACCCCTCTGCCTGTGCAAGGGAAAGCCCTGCAGTCTGAGGGGCGAATGAAGTGGGGTTTAAGTACTGGAGATAGAGGCAGACCTGGGGCCAGACGTTCTCTGTGCCCCTCTTCACCCTCTCAGGTTGGAGAGCAGTGACGGGGATGGGGCCTGGTGCCCCGCAGGGTCCGTGTTTCCCAAGGAGGAGGAGTACTTGCAGGTGGATCTACAACGGCTGCACCTGGTGGCTCTGGTGGGCACCCAGGGACGGCATGCTGGGGGCCTGGGCAAGGAGTTCTCCCGGAGCTACCGGCTGCGTTACTCCCGGGACGGTCGCCGCTGGATGGACTGGAAGGACCGCTGGGGTCAGGAGGTGAGGCTGGCAGAGGCAGCACCCAGAGGAGGTTGATTTTCCTCACTTCCAGCTGTACTGTAAACACCACCTATACACTGACGACTCTCCAGTTTATATAATCGCCAGCCCAAGCCTCTCAGCTGAGCTCCAAACAGTATTGCAAACCTGGCTACCTTTTGGACTTCTTCACCTAGATGTCTTTTTTTTTTTTTAAACAGATGGGGTCTTGCTATGTTGCCCAGGCTGGTCTTGAGCTCCTGGGCTCAGCGATCTTCCCACCTTAGCCTCCCAAAGTGCTGGGATTACAAGCATTGTAGCCAGCCACCTAGATGTCTAATAGGCATCTCAAACGAACCTTTAATTTCCCAAGCTGAATTTGATTCCCATTCCTAACCTAAACCTGCTCCTCCCCTGGCATTCTCCAGCTCAGGAAGTGGGATCACCATTGCCTGGTTGCCTAGGCTATAAGCTAAGATGATATCCTTGATTCCTCGTTTTCTCTCACCTCCTTCCAAAGCATCAGCAGCCCAGTCCGTTCTACCTCCATAGTGTTCCTGAGTCCAGTCACTCCTCACCACTCCACCTCTACTGCCCTAGGCCACCCGCCCACCATCTCCAGCTTAGATGAGTGCAGTAGATGCCAAATGGGTCTCCCTGCTTCTGCCCTTTTCTGCCTGGAGCCAGATTTCCACCTGGGGGGCTGCATCAAGTGGACCTTAAAGCATGTAAATCAGATACGTCACACCTAGCCGACTCCCCTGTGCTGGCTTTCCACTCTGCCAGAACAAAAGCTGAGCCCCTAGCTGGTGCGGGATGTTCAGCCTGACCTGGCTCCTGCCTGCATCACTGGCTCCTTGCGCCTCCTTGGCCACACTGCTTTTCTCGTTGTTGCTGGAACAAGCCAGGGCTCGTTCCCACAGCTTCCGGACGTTTTCTCTGTGCCTGCAAAGCTCCTCCCACAAATAACCACAGGCTCTCCCTCACCCCATTCAGTTCTCCGCCAGGTGTCACCTCCTCAGAGAGCCTTTTCTGGCCACCCACCGCACTGCTCTGTCCATACACCCTGCCTCTTGTTCTTCGCAGCTGTTTCCCTTGCTAGGATTCAGTCCTGCAAGGGCGGGGAGTGACGTTCACCACTGAGAACGTGCCTAGCACAGAGCGGGCACTCACCCACCTTCTGCTGAATGAACAGAGGGAATGGGCTGAAATGAAGGGGAAGCTGAGGCAGGGGTGCAGGGCTGTGAGGACTGGGGAGAATCTGGGCACAATGGGAGGATAGGCTGGGAGACAAATGGATGGAGCTAGACAAGGAGAAGAGGGCAGCTGAGCCTGGAGTCTGAGGACAGAACATCAGAGCTGCAAGAGGGCCAGAGGTCTCAGCTGCAGATCTTCATTTCACCCATGCCTGGCTGCGCCCCACAGTGCTGTGTGCTCAGTGCCACCCCTCACGGGTCTCTAAGTGGCCACTGTGGGCTGGGCCAGGGAGCAGCTGGTGGCTGGGAAGTAAGATCTGACCTGGACCCCTTCCCACGCACCCCGTTTCCTGGCCCACAGGTGATCTCAGGCAATGAGGACCCTGAGGGAGTAGTGCTGAAGGACCTTGGGCCCCCCATGGTTGCCCGACTGGTTCGCTTCTACCCCCGGGCTGACCGGGTCATGAGCGTCTGTCTGCGGGTGGAGCTCTATGGCTGCCTCTGGAGGGGTGAGTGGCCCAGCTCCCTGGAAATCTGTTTCCTGAGCAGGGGAGTGCAGGGTGGGGAGTGTGGAGAATGGGCATCCAGGAATCCCTTTCTCCTGCTGGGAAACTGTCACTCTGAGGAGGGGGCTCGCTGGCATTGTCTCCTCCATGCCAATGTGCCAGTGGAGAGATACAAGAAGGGACCTGAAACCTGCCCAGGCCTGATGCAGGGATGGGGGATGGAGCCTTCGTGCCTCTGATCCCCATCCTCTCACCCTGCCCCAGATGGACTCCTGTCTTACACCGCCCCTGTGGGGCAGACAATGTACTTATCTGAGGCTGTGTACCTCAACGACTCCACCTATGATGGACATACCATGGGCGGGTAAGACAGACCCCTGCAGGACGTGGAGTTTGGGGTGGGAGGGAGGACTGTGTGTGTGTGTGTGTGTGTGTGTGTGTGTGTGTGTGTGTGTGTGTAGGGGGGATGGTAAGTAGGGTGGGGAGTGAGATGGAAGAATTGAGAAGAGGGATAGGTTGGGTGGGGCCTCAGAGGGTAGGACTTGGGTGACCACTAGCCCATATGACACTGTACAAAAAAGGCACCTCTTTGCTAACACACATTGTTGGAAATTGCTGCAATAAATATGCGCATCACAGATTGAAATGGTGCCCCTTACAGGTGGTGGTGTGCTGGATGTGACCTGCAAAGTACCTGTGATACAGCTGGGGTAGGGGTGGAGAGAAGAGCAGAGCCAGCTGCATGAGTGTGGGGTGGGGTGGGAATGGGACTAGTGGACGGGAGCCAGGCTTGCTGGGCCACTGTGCCGGGGGGTGACGGGGCAGAGTGCCTGGATATTAAGACCCTCTTCCCTTCCAACTTCCTCTTCCTTGGTCCCTTCTCCAGATTGCAGTATGGGGGTCTGGGCCAGCTGGCAGATGGCGTGGTGGGGCTGGATGACTTTAGGAAGAGTCAGGAGCTACGGGTCTGGCCAGGCTATGACTATGTGGGATGGAGCAACCACAGCTTCTCCAGTGGCTACGTGGAGATGGAGTTTGAGTTTGACCGGCTGAGGGCCTTCCAGGCCATGCAGGTGAGTGAGTCCGGCTCTCGAGGAGGGCTCTGAAGCCATGGGTGGTGCCATTGGGGTGCTCCCAGCACTCCTAGCCTTGACCTTGTGCCCTCTTCCCTTCCCCCCAGGTCCACTGTAACAACATGCACACGCTGGGAGCCCGTCTGCCTGGCGGGGTGGAATGTCGCTTCCGGCGTGGCCCTGCCATGGCCTGGGAGGGGGAGCCTATGCGCCACAACCTGGGGGGCAACCTGGGGGACCCCAGAGCCCGGGCTGTCTCAGTGCCCCTTGGTGGCCGTGTGGCTCGCTTTCTGCAGTGCCGCTTCCTCTTTGCGGGGCCCTGGTTACTCTTCAGCGAAATCTCCTTCATCTCTGGTAAGTCCCTGAAATTGACAACTGATTTCATTCCTAACCCTGCAGTGTCCCCAAAATATTCATTCCTTGCATCATAGCCACCCATCACCCACCGAAACTTCTCAATTAGGGTTACCCCAAATAGCTTGAGTCCCTTTCTGCCTCCTTTTCTCTGCATATCCATCTTTCCTTTGTAAGCCCCTCGCCCATGACTGTTATTGAGCTAGTATGACAGTATTAGTTGTTAAAATATTGAAATACTTCTGTATTAGTTGAGAAATACCCTCTAAGCCTCCAGATAACTGTCCTTCGCTTCCCCACAGTCCAGCAACTATAGGGTTAACACCCACCACAGCTGGGGACTTCCAGGACCCTGCTCCCCCAACCCCCACTGGTCAGTGGTTGTCTATTGAGAATCACCCATGCTTCTGCTCCTTTGCACAGCAATCCACTGCCTCCCTTGGGTCTCCTCCTCATTTACCTCCCTCCTTTCTTTTTGTTCCTTCTCCCCAGATGTGGTGAACAATTCCTCTCCGGCACTGGGAGGCACCTTCCCACCAGCCCCCTGGTGGCCGCCTGGCCCACCTCCCACCAACTTCAGCAGCTTGGGTGAGCAGCTTTGGGTGGGCGTGTGGACCCTCTGCACCCTTCTCCCTGGGCCTCCCCCTCGGCTAGGGTGGGACCCTCCTGTGGTGCTGACCCTGCTGCCTCCGCCAGAGCTGGAGCCCAGGGGCCAGCAGCCCGTGGCCAAGGCTGAGGGGAGCCCGACCGCAATCCTCATCGGCTGCCTGGTGGCCATCATCCTGCTCCTGCTGCTCATCATTGCCCTCATGCTCTGGCGGCTGCACTGGCGCAGGCTCCTCAGCAAGGTGGGCACAGCTGCGGCCTGTGGAGTGGTGGGGGGAGGCTAGGCCCCAGCACGAGCCAGGGTCCAATGGGGCCTGCAGGGCACAGCCCACTAGCATTCCAAGAGGAGGGCTTAGTAAAGAGACCACTTACACCATGTCAAGGAGGGGATGGGGCTCACAAGGAGGGCTGCTCCCGAGTCCCGGGTCTGCTCAGCGGAGAGGAGGCGGCAAATACCATGACCCAGAGGAGAGAGTCTGTGGAAAGGGTGCCTTGACAGGGGCAGTAGACTTTGGTCCTGGGATGCAGCTGGCCCGTGCCTACCCATCAGGGAGGGCCTGGGAGAATAGATGCCCTGACTTCACTTTCTGCCCCAAATTCCTGCCAGGCTCCTCTCTGGCCAACCCAAACGAGGCCTGTTGGTGCAGTCTACACTGGTCAGCCTTGGGGCAGAAGCAGGGTGGAGACAGGCGGAGAGTGGGGCTGGAGGGGTAAAGGAAAGATGTCTGGCACACCCCAGGCCACGTCTTCCAGTTGGAGTCCAATGGCAGGAATATACATTAAGGTTGATGGCTGGACAGGGTTGCTCACGCCTATAATCCTAGCACTTTGGGAGGCCGAGGCAGGAGGATCACCTGAGGTCAAGAGCTCGAGACCAGCCTGGCCAACATGGTGAAATCCCCCATCTCTACTAGAATACAAAATTAGCCAGGCATGGTGGCTCATGCCTGTAATCCCAGTTACTCGGGACGCTGAGGCATGAATCTCTTGAACCCAGGAGGTGAAGGTTGCAGTAAGCTGAGATCGCGCCATTTCACTTCAGCCTGGGCGACAAGAGCGAAATTCCATCTCCAAAAACAAACAAACAAACAAACAAAAAAGGTTGATAGTTATGGACTGGGCAGATGAGGGTTGGAATCTCATTGTGGGACAGGGAAGTTACCTCCATGCTCTTGAGCTTCAGTTTCTCTACTTGTTAAAGATGGTGCTGATAGTATCTACAGCTGTAGGGCTCTTGTGAGGGCTGAGGGAGGCAACGCAGGGATGGACACAGCAGAGGACCAGGCCGTGTGTGCTGAGCAACACGGGTGACGCCTCCCATTCCCCATGACAAGGCTGAACGGAGGGTGTTGGAAGAGGAGCTGACGGTTCACCTCTCTGTTCCTGGGGACACTATCCTCATCAACAACCGCCCAGGTCCTAGAGAGCCACCCCCCTACCAGGAGCCCCGGCCTCGTGGGAATCCGCCCCACTCCGCTCCCTGTGTCCCCAATGGCTCTGGTAAGACTCACCTTGTTCCAGTTGCACGTCTGTCCTCTCCGCTGTTTTCTTACTGTAACCCTTTCCCATTCTCTTTTTTCCCTGTCTTCCCCAGTTTCCACTTGTTTTCTTCTTTCCGTGCCCCTGGTTACTGCCTATATCACTCTTTGTCCCTATCATGTAGTGTCTCTCAAGAGTTCCGCATGGATTACCCACAGTCCCCCGTGTTCCTATCCCGTCTGTGTCCCACAGACATCTCTTTGTTGTACCCTCTCATTGTGTCTCCCTGGCCCCTCTGCTTTGTATTAGACTCACCATGTTTGTTCCTTCTATCCGTCCATCTTCTATCACCCATCCTTCCTTCCATAGCCATAAACCCTTGCATCCATCCATCAATCCTCCATCATCTATCCTTCTGTCTATATTCATAAATCTATTCATCTATCCATCCACCCATATCCATCATCCATCTATCCATCTATATTCATACATCCGTCTATCCATCTATTATCCATCCATCCAACAAAACATCTGTTTACCATCCATCCATCTATTCATATATCCCATCTGTCCATCCATTCATTATCCAGCCAGCCATCCGTCACTCTGCAGATCCTTGTTTTATCCTGTCTGTCTCTTAATGCAGTCATCCCATCAGCCCTGGTCTTGCCCTATTCAAGGTCTCCCTGTCTGTCTAGCCTTGAGTCTCATCCCTTCCCCGTGTTTCCCCTCCTCCTTCTCCCGACAGCGTTGCTGCTCTCCAATCCAGCCTACCGCCTCCTTCTGGCCACTTACGCCCGTCCCCCTCGAGGCCCGGGCCCCCCCACACCCACCTGGGCCAAACCCACCAACACCCAGGGTAAGCCCCTCTGCCCCTGGGCTCCGCCAGGCTCCCCATACCTCTACTGGGGCAGGGAAAAGCCCTCACACCTTGCACTTCCTCCTCTCCCCACTGTGGCCTCTTCTGCTCTCCTGAGCTCCCAAGGAGGAAGCTCTTGTGACCTTAGCTCATCTCTGCTGCTGCTTGCTCTTTTTAAAGCCCCCCACCTTCAGCTGAAGAGTAGAAAGCTTACTGGTCCCCAGCTCTTTTCCCTCCTCCTCTTCCACACCATCTCTTCGGCATTCCAGAGCTAGACAGGAGGTTGCTGTGGTGGCCCCAGACTATTGTAACTCCTCCTTTATTCTCTGCTCTCTCTAGAGCTGTGAGGAGGAGGGCTCTCACCCCGGCGCTTGCCCTCTCCCCCACATGTGTCCTCTCTCTGCAGTCCCAGAGGTGAAGGCTCACGCCCCGACCCTTTCCGTCTGCCCCTCCTGTCTTCGGTGTTGCCTTCTCATTGTGGCCCCTTCCCCAGGGCTAAGAGGGGACAGCTCTGCTTCCTCTCTTGTCTGTAGACAACTTGTGTTGGGGCTGTGAGCAGCCGTTATCCTCTCTCCTCTCTGTGTGCCTGTCTCTGCTTGTCATTGAGCTTGGTGTGTTGGGTTGAAAGGGCTGGGAGGGCTTGGCCCCAGGAGGAGCCAGGCAGTAGCCACGGGAGAGCAGCTAAGTGAAGGGGAGGGAGCTGTGGTGAACAGGACAAGGGTTTGGAAGGTGGAGGGTGCCTGGATGCTGGGACTATCCTGAGGTGGGAGAATTCCTGGGGAAAAATTCTTCCAGCCAAGATTTATCTCATGGTCTCTTGAGAGACCCTAGGGAGGCCTTAAAGAGTAAGACTTTATGACAGTTTTGCTCAACCATATTCATTGCCTTGAAAACCTCTGGAACAGCTAACTCTCATCCCATGCCAGTGTCTTCCTGGTTTGAGGTCGGTGCATGGAATACTGAGAAGATACAGCATAGACCCAGTTTCTCACTCGACTGGAAGACACGGGGCCCTCTGGGAGGCTGAGCTGTGGGGAACTATAGCTCTCGGGCTGTTCCTGATGCCTCGTCCTGTCTTCTTTCCCCTCACCCCTGCAGCCTACAGTGGGGACTATATGGAGCCTGAGAAGCCAGGCGCCCCGCTTCTGCCCCCACCTCCCCAGAACAGCGTCCCCCATTATGCCGAGGCTGACATTGTTACCCTGCAGGGCGTCACCGGGGGCAACACCTATGCTGTGCCTGCACTGCCCCCAGGGGCAGTCGGGGATGGGCCCCCCAGAGTGGATTTCCCTCGATCGAGGCTCCGCTTCAAAGAGAAGCTTGGCGAGGGCCAGTTTGGGGAGGTAAGGAGGGTGCCTACCCAGCCATCAGTAGTGTCTGGCCTACTGGGTGCTCTGATGCCATGCCTGCACAGTCCCCTGGCCAGGAACCTTAGTCATTTGTGACCATGTTAATCCGTTTGACCCTGTGATCGCCTAGCAAATGAACTTCTTTCTCCAGGTGCACCTGTGTGAGGTCGACAGCCCTCAAGATCTGGTCAGTCTTGACTGCCCCCTTAATATGCGTAAGGGACACCCCTTGCTGGTAGCTGTCAAGATCTTACGGCCAGATGCCACCAAGAATGCCAGGTGAGGACCAGGGATGGCATCTGGAAGAAGGGACGGGAGGCCATGAAGAGTGGGGAGCCACCTGGAGAGAACAATGGCAGAGCTCAACAGAGGAGTGGCGTTTCTGGGAGGGGATTTGCATGTACGCTGGGGGTGGGGACGCCTGGTCCACCTGAGGAAGGAGGTGGGCGGGGGAAGGTGCAGGCCGCCCACTCGGCATTCCTCTTTACCTTCTCCTTGTTCTCCAGGAATGATTTCCTGAAAGAGGTGAAGATCATGTCGAGGCTCAAGGACCCAAACATCATCCGGCTGCTGGGCGTGTGTGTGCAGGACGACCCCCTCTGCATGATTACTGACTACATGGAGAACGGCGACCTCAACCAGTTCCTCAGCGCCCACCAGCTGGAGGACAAGGCAGCTGAGGGGGCCCCTGGGGATGGGCAGGCTGCACAGGGGCCCACCATCAGGTACCTGCTTACCCAGGCTGGGCCTTGCTGAGAATTCCCCAAGGGGGTCTCTTCCTCTCCCCTTGCTTCAGCCTCGAGGAAAAGAGGGGAGCATGGGGGTAGGAAGGCAGGGAGAGGTTCCAGGAGGGCCTGGAATAAGGAACGTGTGACAAGTTAACCCAGGAACATGGACAGAAAGGCTGGAGGTGACGACGCAAGAGTGGTGAAGGGACTTGGGCCCTGCCATGATGTCCCTTCTGCTTTCTGTCACCCTCACTACCCTCTGAGTCCAGATTGGGGAGCACAATAGAAGAAGAGCCCCCTAGGGTTGGCTAGGCCTGGAAGATTGAGACGGAAGTGACCCTTGGCCTCACATGGGCATGCCACCTCCACATGGGGAACCGGAGTGACCGGGCCCGGGGAGTGGGCTCTCTTTCCTCTCCTGGATGGGAATCTGCGAAGCTGCCCCCAGTGACCTTCTGTTGGTTCCCTTCTCAGCTACCCAATGCTGTTGCATGTGGCAGCCCAGATCGCCTCCGGCATGCGCTATCTGGCCACACTCAACTTTGTACATCGCGACCTGGCCACGCGGAACTGCCTAGTTGGGGAAAATTTCACCATCAAAATCGCAGACTTTGGCATGAGCCGGAACCTCTATGCTGGGGACTATTACCGTGTGCAGGGCCGGGCAGTGCTGCCCATCCGCTGGATGGCCTGGGAGTGCATCCTCATGGTGAGCAGCCCGAGGACAGCCAGGTTGGGGCAGGGCAGGTGGGAGAACACTGGCCGCCACTCGCAGCCCTGGTCTCTATCAGTCACGCACTTTCTCTGGGTTGCATTTTACAGAATCTCATCTGTAAAATGAGGTTCTCCTAGCCCAAGGGACTGGGGAAAGCAGGAGCTGCAGTGTGATGGGCAAGAGTCCAGGAGCCAAGAGTGGGTACTGGGGTTGGAGACAGGGTGGCAGAGAGCTCAAGAGACAAGGTAGGGGGAGGAAGCTGGAGACAGAAGGGGGTGCGTAGGGAGACTGAGGGTCAGGACCAGAAAGTGGGGGTGGATGGAGAGGAAGGAGTAGCAGAAGGAAGAGGTGGGCCAGGGCCCTGGAGAGAGGACCAGAGCATGGAGAGGAAAGGCAGAACCCGAGGGAGAGGAGTTGAAAAAGGTGGCCAGCGGAGCAGAGTGGAGAGCCTGGCGTTGGGAGGGATCAGGCCTGAGTGGAGCCCAGAGTGGATCTGGGGCTTCCGACAGGAAGGGAGGAGGGTCTCTGTTGCCTGATGTCTGTTTTTGCTGCCTTCTCTGCATCCCAGGGGAAGTTCACGACTGCGAGTGATGTGTGGGCCTTTGGCGTGACCCTGTGGGAGGTGCTGATGCTCTGCAGGGCCCAGCCCTTTGGGCAGCTCACCGACGAGCAGGTCATCGAGAACGCGGGGGAGTTCTTCCGGGACCAGGGCCGGCAGGTCAGAGTGGAGGGGAAGGAAGATGGGTCCAAGGTGGGGGACAGAAGGGGCAGTTGTCATCTTGGAGACTAAAGAATATTTGTTCCCTGCCTCTCATCCACACTGCCACAATGCAGGTGTACCTGTCCCGGCCGCCTGCCTGCCCGCAGGGCCTATATGAGCTGATGCTTCGGTGCTGGAGCCGGGAGTCTGAGCAGCGACCACCCTTTTCCCAGCTGCATCGGTTCCTGGCAGAGGATGCACTCAACACGGTGTGAATCACACATCCAGCTGCCCCTCCCTCAGGGAGCGATCCAGGGGAAGCCAGTGACACTAAAACAAGAGGACCCAATGGCACCTCTGCCCTTCCCCTCCCGACAGCCCATCACCTCTAATAGAGGCAGTGAGACTGCAGGTGGGCTGGGCCCACCTAGGGAGCTGATGCCCCTTCTCCCCTTCCTGGACACGCTCTCATGTCCCCTTCCTGTTCTTCCTTCCCAGAAGCCCCTGTCACCCACCCAGCTGGCCCTGTGGATGGGATCCTCTCCAAACTCCTCTAGCCCTCCCTTGGGGAAGGGTGGGGGGAAATATAGGATAGACACTGGACATGGCCCATTGGAGCACCTGGGCCCCACTGGACAACACTGATTCCTGGAGAGGTGGCTGCGCCCCCAGCTTCTCTCTCCCTGTCACACACTGGACCCCACTGGCTGAGAATCTGGGGGTGAAGAGGACAAGAAGGAGAGGAAAATGTTCCCTTATGCCTGCTCCGGGACTTGTTCTCAGCTTGGGCTTCTTCCACCTCCATCACCTGAAACACTGGACCTGGGGGTAGCCCCGCCCCAGCCCTCAGTCACCCCCACTTCAAGACGTAGCTAGAACTTCTCTAAGCCTGTACGTTTCTGTGGAGTAAATATTGGGATTAGTGGGAAAGAGGGAGCAACAGCCCGTAGCCTTGGGGTTGGACATCTCTAGTGTAGCTGCCACATTGATTTTTCTATAATCACTTGGGGTTTGTACATTTTTGCGGGGAGAGACACAGATTTTTACACTAATATATGGACCTAGCTTGAGGCAATTTTAATCCCCTGCACTAGGCAGGTAATAATAAAGGTTGAGTTTTCCACAACTGTGTGAGTGGGTTCCTTGGTAACTGCCTCCTGCACCTCCCTCTGAACCCACTTCCCATCTTCCTTTTTTCCTCCCTCTCCCCATTCCATTTCCCATCACCTATTTTGCCCAGCATTGTGTTCTGTTTCTGCATAATCCAGGCCTTTGCCTGTGGGACCTCAGGTGATGCATGAATGTGTGAGTACATGAACCTTCTCAACTCATAGGGGTGCTCTGCTGGAGGCCTGGAGGGAATGCAGTCAGGCCAGGGGTGCTGAACCTTTTTTGTGCCATAAGCCCATTTGGCAGTGTGTAGCGGTCTACTGAGTACTCCTCAGAATTAGGTTTTAAAACCTATAAAATGGACCAGGTGCAGTGGCTCACCCTTGTAATCCCAGCACTTTGGGAGGCTGAGGTGGGTAGATAGTTGAGTCCAGGAGTTTGAGACCAACCTGGCCAACATAGTAAAACCCCATCTCCACTAAAGATACAAAAATTAGCATGGCGTGGTGGCATGCGCCTGTAATCTCAGCTACTCAGGAGGCTGAGGCAGGAGAAATGCTTAGAACCCGGGAGGTGGGGGTTGCAGTGAGCTGAGATCACACCACTGTGCTCCAGCCTGGGCAACAGAGTGAGACTCTCAAAAACAAAACAAAAACAAAACCCATAAAATGTATAGGATTATAAAGGAAACCAATGGAAACAGTTTACCAAACTGCTAAAAAATTATGAAACTAATGTGCTGCTTTTTAATGTATTTAATAAGATCTAAAAACAGGTGTAATAAACTACTGACACTTTTCAAATACTAATGAGCATAAACCATATTTGAGATTTCTACAACAATCACAGTGAGCCATAAAAGTAGCTGTGGTGTCAGTGACAAGTCACAGGTACTGCTAATACTACTGGTGGTTTTACCCATATTCATAATTGAAGGAAATGCTAAATTTCTATTAGAGGTTAGTAAAAGGTGTAATTCTTTTTGTCCAAATTTTAGAACCCATCTGGCTCCCCAGGGTCTGGAAATCCCAGGGGAGAATCCCTGGTTTATGCTGATAGAGTGTGCAAATGCCCCAGTGGGGGTGGGGGATGGGTTGTTGGAATGGAAACCAGAACTAAGAGCCTCAATTATCTCAGCGGCTTGGAAGGATGAGCTACAACCATCAAGAGAGCAATTAACAAAGGGTTCAAATTTGGTTGGAAAGAAAAAATTGGCCAGCGGGGTGGCTCATGCCCTGTAATCCCAACACTATGGAAAGCTGAGGTGGGAGGATTTCTTGAGCCTAGGAGTTTGGAACCAGCCTGGGCAACATAGTGAGCCCACTCTGGCCCCCATTTCTAAAAAAAAAAAAAAAAAAAAATATATATATATATATATATAAAATTAGCTGGGCTCAGTGGTGTGCACCAGCAACTCAGGAGGCCGAGGTGGGAGGATAACTTGAGCCCAGGAGGTTGAGACTGCAGTGAGCATTGCTTTACTCCAGCCTGGGTGACAGAGCAAAACCCTGTCTCAAAATAAAAAGAAAATTTAAAAAAAAGTCAGTTGCAGGGATGGGACAAGGCAGACCCATTTTGATGGCCGTTCATGTGAAATAAAGACCCTGGGGTTTTGGTTGATGATACTCACAAAATGAGCCAATTGGATAATGAGGATTACAATAAAGATAAATCAATGTGAAGTTGAATTAATAGGCCCTTGGGGCCTAGGTCATGAATCTAATAGTCCTGCCAAAACCTACACAGGTCAAACCACTGTGCACTATGATTTAAGTTGTGCACCGATAGGTTAGAGTTTAGAGGCCAGATCCCAGAATAATGAGCAATGGAAGCCATGGCAGTGAGCCTGATAACCCCAAATCTCTGAGCCCAGAACTGTCTTTCAAGCAGAAACACCTGGAGTTAATTTTTTTTTTTTTTTTTTTTTTTTGAGACTGGGTGTCACTCTGTTGCCCAGGCTGGAGTGCAGTGGTGCAATCTCGGCTCACTGCAATCTCCGCCTCCTGGGTTCAAGCAATTCTTCTGCCTCAGCCTCCCAAGTAGCTGGGATTACAGGTGTGCGCCACCATGCCCAACTAATTTTTTTGTATTTTTAGTAGAGACAGGGTTTCACCATATTGGCCAGGCTGGTCTCAAACTCCCGACCTTGTGATCCACCCACTTCGACCTCCCAACGTGCTGGGATTACAGGCGTGAGCCACCGTGCCCAGCCCCACCTGGAGTTAATTTAAAAGTCAGGCCCAGCTTGTCCAAACCTGCTCCTCCTCCACAGTCTACTGACTCAGTGAGTGGTAGCATCATCCACTTAGCTGCACAAGCCACACAAGTGGCATCCCTGACACTCCTTCTCCCTTACCTTCCACCTCCCAAGTCCAGTCCAGCACAAAGCGCTGTTGATTGTGCCTCCCAAATTTCCCTGGAACTTGTCCTCTCTGTCTCCATCACCCTCCTGGCACACGCTGCCTCCATCTTGCCTGGACTCCTGCAGTGGTCTCCCAGCTGGTCACCCAGATCTGCCTCTGCTCCTCTCTGGGTTGTTTTCAGCCCTGCAACCACAGTTATCTTTAAAGCACATAAATCTGACCTTAATCCTTCATTTCAAATCCAGCAGTGGCTTTTCATTACCCTTAGAATACAGAACAAAATCCTTCTGGCCAAGGTCGGCCCCCACATACCTCTCCAGCACCCTCCCTCAACTGACTGCTCTCCTCTGTGACCACTGGCCTTCTTTCAGATTGGCCCAGTGGGCCACAGTACTTCCTGCCATGTGGTCTTCAGGGCATGCTGTTCCCTCACCTGAAACAATGTTCCCTGCTCTCTGTGCCTTGTTAACTCCTGCTTGCCCTTCAGCAGTCTTTCCTGACTTCCCCAACTAGGTCAAATCCCCTACTGATAATCTCAGAGCACATGAATCTCTTCTTTGTAGCACTTATTACGTGTGTAATTTTACATGTATTTGTGTGTAATTTTACATATCTTTTTATACCTGCCCCTCCCACTAAACTATAAGTTGCACATGGGCAAATTCTTGGAACACAGGGCTCAATATTGGTTGAAAGAAAGAATTGTATCAAATATCTGACAGACTAACAGATTCTATGTAGTTACAGAACTAGAACTAGGATTAATAAGTGAAAGTTACAATAATGATGATAATATATTACTGAGCATCCACTATACGCCAGGTATTGAAATTACTACATATTATATCTTACTTAATACAATATATGAAGTAGTTGAAATTATTTCACAGAGAAGAAAATTCTGTTAGGTTAAATAACTTGCCCAAAGTAGCACAGTTAGTCAATGATAAAGCCTGTGGGAAGTGGGTTTGTGGGTTCCTGGCTGTCTGTTCTTTTTTTTTTTTTCGAGATGAAGTCTTGCTCTGTCACCCAGGCTGGAGTTCAGTGGCACTATCTCAGCTCACTGCAACCTCTGCCTTCTGGGTTGAAGTGATTCTCCTGCCTCAGCCTCCTGAGTAGCTGGGATTACAGGTACCTGTCACCATGCCCGGCTAATTTTTTTATTTTTAGTAGAGATGGGGTTTCACCATGTTGGCCAGGCTGGTCTTGAACTCCTGATCTTGTGATCCACCCTCCTTGGCCTCCCAAAGTGCTGGGATTACAGGTGTGAGCCACCGCGCCCTGCCCTGGCTCTCTGTTCTTTCTCTCCAGGATGCTGCCTGAGGCAAGGAGGTCATGAGTTCCCTATCACAGGAATTTTCTTTTTTGAACTACCACGCCCACTAACACACTGGCCAACATGGTGAAATCCTGTCTCTACTAAAAATACAAAAAAAAATTAGCAGGGCATGGTGGTTCACGCCTGTAATCCCAACGACTCGGAAGTCTGAGGCACAAGAATCGCTTGAATCTGGGAGACAGAAATTGCAGTGAGCCGAGATTGCGCCACTGCATTCGGCCTGGGTGACAGAGAAAGACTCTGTCCCCCTACCCCCTCCAAAAAAGCTGTGCCTATTTCACTTTTTTTTTTTTTTTTTTTTTAATTTGAGACAGAGTCTCATTTTGTTGACCAGTCTGGAGTACAATGGTGTGATCTCAGCTAGCTGCAACCTCTGCCTCCAAGGCTCAAACAACCCTCCTGCCTCAGCCTCCCAAGTAGCTGGGCCTACAGGCGTGCCTCCTCATGCCCAGCTAATTTTTGTATTTTTTGTAGAGACAGGGTTTCACCATGTTGCCCAAGCTGGTCTCAAACTTTGGTGCTCAAGCGATCTGCCTGGCTTGGCCTCCCAAAGTGCTGAGATTACAGGCGTGAGCTACTGGACCAGGCCTCAATTTTCAGTAAAGGTGTATGAGTATGCTCCTATACCCTGACGAACACTGAGGTTGATAATCCTTAATTTCTTTTATGCTAAACTTTTATATTTTAATTTTATTTATGTATTTATTTTGAGATACAGTCTTGCTCTGTTGCCCAGGCTGGAGTGCAGTAGTGTGATCTCAGCTTACTGCAACCTCGGCCTACTGGGTTCAAGCTATTCTCCTGTCTCAGCCTCCCAAGTAGCTGGGATTACAGGTGCCAGCCACTATGCTTGGCTAATTTTTGTATTTTCAGTAGAGACGGGGTTTCACCATGTTGCCCAGGCTAGTCTCGAACTTCTGACCTCAAGTGATCCACCCGCCTCAGCCTCCCAAAGTGCTGAGATTATAGGTGTGAGCCACTGCCTCCGGCCAGTTTATTTATTTTTATTTATTTATTTATTTTTGAGACGGAGTTTCATTCTTGTTGCCCAGGCTGGAGTGCAATGGCACAGTCTCAGCTCACTGCAACCTCCGCCTCCCAGGTTCAAGTGATTCTCCTGCCTCAGCCTCCCAAGCAGCTGGGATTACAGGCTCCTGCCACCATGCCCAGTTAATTTTCATATTTTTAGTAGAGACAGGGTTTCACCATGCTGACCAGGCTAGTCTTGAACTCCTAACCTTAGGTGATACACCTGCCTTGGCCTCCCAAAGTGCTGGCATTACAGGCATGAGCCACGGCACTTGGCCTATTTAT